CTCAAGAAGCGACCACGAGAAATGACCACGAGAAACGACCACAAGAAACGACCATGAGAAACGACCACGAGAAACGACCATGAGAAACGACCACGAGAAACGACCATGAGAAACGACCACGAGAAACGACCATGACAAACGACCACAAGAAACGACCAAACGAAACAATTTCATATAAATACCTCAAGTTCATAATGTGATCTTCATGGTTGCCTCGGTTGATGTAAACACCAGTGGGATACAGAATCATATATGCGAATAATATAATAACGATCTCTATGGATCTAGGGCCACGATCAACAAGATCACCGTTGAAAACGTAAGGATTGTCTGAAGAAGGGACGCCATTCTGCGGAGGAAAAAGATATGACGATATAAAGATAGCATGTAATGATGATGATACGTGATGATGATGATACGTGATGATGATACATGATGATGATACATGATGATGATACATGATGATACATGATGATACATGATACATGGCGATGATACATGATGATGATACATGGTGATGATGAAGATGCATGATAGTGATGATACATGATGATGTTAATACATGATAATGATGATGATGCTGATACATGATGATGATTTTGTTGATGACGAAGGTACAAGATAATGATGACGATTATGATGATGACAACAAAATAAAACCCCATTATTGCTCACCTTGGAAAATATGGTAAAAAGGTCGTCCAGTTTCCCGTGTAGATCTCCTATAGACAAGAAGACAAGTGAGACAAAAAGCGTTGAAATTTGACAGACGTTAATCAAAAACCGGTTGATCCAGTTTAGTGGAACAAGCTTAACTTACCACATACGGTGATTTGCTTGGCGATACTAGTCGTTGCTTTCTGAATATTCGGTAAAACCTTGAACTTTTCTCGTGCTTCTCTTAAGATAACCAGAACATACTTGGCGTGGAGTTGCTTGTTCAGCTTGTAGTGGTTCATTAGTTTATTGATTGTCTGTATAGACAAAGGTAGTTTGATTTTGATGCCACTGTAGTTGGACGGTACTGGGACTGTCTCTGGGTCTGTCAGTCTTTCCAGGGTATCGTTATCTGATGTAACTGACTTGTCTACAAGTAAATACAAAACCATCACACATGGCACGGTAAATAGACAATATATAAATATACAAGATATACATCTAGACTATAGACTATATATCTAGACTGGTGACTATAGCCCACTATAGACTCAAGTTAGTAAAGGAAGGCTATATAGGAACGCCCAAGAAGAAGACCATATGCTGTAGCAACATGAAGTACTGCCCGTGGAGACAAGCACGAGAACACTGCTAGTATCCCGAACGACATCAGTTGATTTGAGAGGAATTTATCCAGTGTTTTCCACGGCGTGGGTTGCCTGTGTTTCGAGGTTTTTCACCGCGAGGCCAACACAGGCTATCTATCTTGCCATGCAAGATATCAGCACCCACACCAGGAAGTTTCTTATAAGATTGAATGAACTGATAGGTTATGACACATCGTTGACCGCAGGCCTGAGTACGTGAATGAATGTGATGCATACTGCTAAATATATGCCAGAGTTTACAAGTCAATTGAATCGCCCTAACCCATAAATAAACGTAGCGATCCTGTTAAAACATGTTATAGAATACCCCTGTAAAGTGGTGCAGTACAGCACGAAGAGAAGGACTAATACCTCATATACATTAAATAACTCGGGACATAAAATGGACCAGATTCAAACTTTGATCGTTAGGGAATCTTACATAACTAGATATTCACAAGAATCTGCAATTCGCTTGAGCGTTGATATTCGTAGTACGTCTATCAATTTGCCGTATCATTTCCTACTCACGCGAAAACCGCGCTAATCTGATCGCGAAGTACTGGCTCTGCATGGGATTGAAAAGGCGTGAGAAGTTCTGTTAGAGTACTTACTAATGGGAGAACCTTCTCTTTTCAGTGCGTCTGTTATTACACTCGATCTGGTCTCTGCTGTAAAATGTTTGTCAAAATATTAGCTAAGCAACGAATACAATATCTAGCGTACACTTGAGACGGAATAAATGTGCTGGTTTGAGCGACGCAATCATAAGCTCATCAATTCAAAAATGTACAAATGAAAGTGTTTGCCACAAAAGGGTGAAACCGGCCTGGAATCGCGCTTGGCATGTATTCTGTTATCGTATGTATGGGAACTAAATGTCATAGGCACAATTATGGCTTCAAGACTGAGAACTGTCACTGCGCTATGACAGAGGGTTACAACAACACAGAACAACTCAAATATTCTTTTTTAGAATATGGTGTATTTTTTATATCTGTAATTGGACAACTCTTTGGTATGAACATCTAAAGAATGAGAGTAGATGACGTACTGATACCTACCTATGTTGTTATCTTGTTGCACGTGTGTCATCATATCACTGAAAAAATTGAAAAGCTGAAACCAAATGAAATAAAAACACAATGAGGTTATGAGTACTGGTTAAAGAATGATAACTACAACATTAATAAAGAATATGTGACGAACGAAACTGAAGTACCACTAATGAGCATAGCCTTAGCAGCAACACCACCACCTCCACCAATAGCAATGGTAATACCATACCAATAACAGCAACA